TGTCTCATAGGTTTTGGTATGATGTGTTTCCATTCTTATTTGTCTCAAGGAATTTTTTAATTTCTCTTTTAATTTCATTAACCCATTGGTTGTTTAGGAGCATGTTGTTTAATTTCCATATATTTGTAAAGTTTTCATAGTTTTTCTTGTTGATTGCTAGTTTTATACTATTGTAGTTGGAAAAAATACCTGATATGATCTCTGTCTTTTTAAATCTGTGCAGACTTGTTTTGTGGCCTAATATATGATCTGTCCTGGAGAGTGTTCTATGTGCAGTTGACATGAAAGTGTATTCTGCAGCTGTTGGATGGAATGTTCTGTAAACGTCCATAAGGTCCATTTGGTCTTTGGTGTATATAACTCAGATATTTCTTTGTTTATTTTCTTTCTAGGTGATCTATCCATTGTTGAAAGTGGGGTGTTAAAATTCCCTGCTGTTATTGAATTGCAATTTATCTCTCCACTTGGGTCTAATGATGTTTGCTTCATATATCTGGGTGCTCTGGTTTTGAGTGCATTTATAAAAAATTGTTATATCCTCTTATTGAATTGATCCTTTTATCATTATATAATGACCTTCTATGTCTCTTTTTACAGTTTTTGTTTCAAAGTCTGTTTTATCTGGTATAAGTATGACTTCCTCCTCTTGTTTTTGACTTGTGTTTGCCTGGAATATCTTTTTCTAGCCCTTCATTTTCAGTTTGTTTGTCTTTAATAGTTAAGTGAGTCTCTTGTAGGCAGCATATTGTTGAGTCTTGTTTTTTTTTTTTTTTTTTTTTTTTTTTATTCATTCAGCCACTCTAGATCTATATCTAATTGAAGAGTTTAATCCATTTACATTCAAGGTTATTACTGATGTGTGAGAACTTATTCCTGTCATTTTGTCTATTGTTTTCTGGTAGTGTTATATATCCTTATTTCCTTTCTCTTTCTCTTGTTATTTACCTCTGTGGTTTGGTGGTTTTCTGTAGTGCTAAGCTTTGTTTTCTTTCTCTTTCTCATTTGTGTATCTGCTATAATTTCTTTTTTTGTGTGGTTATCTTGCGGCTAACATAAAGAGTCTTTTTAGTTATAGTAAACTGTTTCAAGGTGAGAGCAACTTAACTTTTTTTTTTTTTTTTCCTTTTTGTCTTTTTTCGTGTCCGGCAACGGATCGCAACCCTCAGTGTCGCGCCCGTACCGGACTGGGACCGGCAGCAGGATCGCAACCCTCAGTGCTGCACCCGCACCTCGATGAGCCAGTGAGCGGGAACTGGTCTGTATGTGGGATCCGAACCCTCGGTGGGAGCGCCGCCGCGCTCCCAAGCGGCGCACTGTAGCAGTGCACCACCAGGCCGGCCCTGAAGAGCAACTTAACTTTGACCTCATGAAAATACTCTAGACTCACCCCCAACACACACACACACACAATTTATATTTTTGTTGACTTAACTTACTTTTGTATCTACTGTATGTTCCTTAGCTACTAATTGTAGCTGTCATTTTTTGGCCATTTGCCTTTAACCTTCATTACAGAGGATTGAAGGATTTATGTAGCACCATTACATAACTGGGGTGTTCTGAGTTTGAATTATGAATTTACCTCTAGTGGGTTTCATACTTTTATATGTTTTAATGATAGTAATTATCATCTTTTTATTTCCAGCTATAACACTCTCTTAAGTATTTCTTGTATGGCTGGTCTAGTAGTGATGAATTCCCTCAGCTTTTGCTTGTTTGGGAAGGTCTGTTTCTCCCTCATTTCTGAAGGACATGAGGATGTATAAAGTATTCTTGGCTAATAGTTTTTTTCTTTCAGGACTTTGAATGTATCATTTTATTCTCTCCTGGTCGGCAAGGCTTCTGTTAAGAAATCTGCTGATAGTCTAATGGAGATTCCTTTATACATGACTTGATGCTTTTCTCATGCACCTTTCAGAATTCTCTCTTTGGCTTTTGGCAGTTTGATTACGATGTGCCTCAGACAGGATCTTTTTGGGTTGAGTCTAACTGGGGAACTTTTTAGCATCCTGAATCAGAATGTTCATATCTCTCCCACTACTTGTGAAGTTTTCAGCGATTATTTCATTAAATAGGGTTTCTGTGCTTTTCTCCACTTCTTCTTCTGGAACACCTATTATTTGCACATTTGTTTGAGTAATGATGTCCCATACATCTCATGGGCTTTCTTCATTCTTATTTATTTTTTCCCCCCTGACTGGATCATTTCAAAAGATCTGTCTTCTAGGTCAGAAATTCTCTCTTCTGCTTGAACCAGTCTATTGTTGAAACTCTGAATACTATTTTTTATTTTTTTCATTGAATTCTTCAGCTCCAGTATTTCTGTTTGGTCCTTTTTTTTTTTTTTTTTTTTTACGATATCTGTCTCTTTGTTAAATATCTCATTCAGATCATGAATTATTTTCCCAATATCATTGAATTGTTTTTCTGTGTTCTCTTATATCTCATTGTGTTTCCTTAAGATTATTATCTGAAATTTCTTTACAGGCATTTCATAACTATTCTTTTCTTTGGTGTCTGTTACTGGAAACTTATTGTGTTCTTTTGGAGGCATTATGTTTCCTTGCTTTTTCATGTTTCTTGTGTCCCTACACTGATATCTATACATGCAGTGAAGTAATTGCTTTTCCCAACTTTATGGACTAGATTATGTGGAAGTGACTTTTTCCTGTATGTGGGTTCTAGGGTGTCTGTTGGATATGTTGCATTAGCTTTAGTTTTGAGTAGACTCAGAAGTGTAGTCTCTGTGCAGTTTCTTTGGTTTTAATCCTCATCAGTGATGTCTGATAATGCCTCAGTGGCCTAGACTGTGGGAGTTTGTGCCAACACTGGCTCTGTTTTGCTGGGTAGGAGACTCTGTCTTGGCCGGTTGTTGGGCCAGGTGTGTGCTGATGCAAAGGGTCAACCAGCTATTTAGTAGTCTCTCTGAGGTGCAGAATTGCTGCCCAACCAGCTATCAGGCCAGGCTTGGACATGCAGCTCTGAGGTTGTCTCTCCCAGGGGGTAGTGTGCTGCCTGACCTGCTTCTGGGCTGGATACAGATTAGCCTGGGCACAGGGTTGGGGGTCAGTCTGCTCTGCAAAGGTCTGTTAGAGAAGTGGATGCTACTGCCTAGCCAGGAGCTGACATGCACAAGTGCAGCAGGGCCAGGTGGCTCTGTGGAGGCCTGCCATAAGAGGTGAAGCCACTGCCCAATTTGCTGTCAATCAGGGAGCAGATGTGTACAGGTGTAGCAGGCCCAGAGCTCTTTGGAGGGCCCCCAGGTGGAGGTAGAGCCACTGCCTAATTTGCTGTCCAGCGGGGAGCAAGCATGCACTGTTGTCCAGCAGGGAGCAGGCATGTCCAGCAGGGAGCAGGGTCTGGCAGCTCCCTGGAGGGCTGCCAGTTCAGCTGTCTAGCTGACAAGCCTACAAGGGTATGGCAGGGCCCAGCAGCTCCATAGAGGCCTGCCAGGTGGAGGCAAAGCTGCTGCCCCATCGCTGTCAGTCAGGGAGCAAGTGTACACTTGTTTAGCAGGGCCTAGTGGCTCTGTGGAGGGCCAGGGGGAAAGGCAGAGCTACCACTGGACTAGCTGTCAGGCCAGCATGGACACCTGTGGGCTCAGCAGGCCAGCAAGTTGTGCAGGACTGTCAGTCAGGGAGCAAGTGTACACTTGTTTAGCAGGGCCTAGTGGCTCTGTGGAGGGCCAGGGGGAAAGGCAGAGCTACCATTGGACTAGCTGTCAGGCCAGCATGGACACCTGTGGGCTCAGCAGGCCAGCAAGTTGTGCAGGGCAAGTGCACGTGAACGTAGTATACCACTGCTTATTAGCGGCTCCCCTGCTGAGGATGCCTGCCTTGTCTCCTGGGTGGTGGGGACAGGGTTGCCATGTGGATTCAAATGCTGGGATCTCAGTCTTTCTGTCTGGTCTAGGTTCCAGGCAGCTGGGGTTGTGGTCCTGCTGGAGCCCGTGTGAACATGGTAGAATAAAGATGGGGCCTCAGGATGGAAGTAGTCAGTTTCCACTGGCCCCCAGGGTGCAGGACATACTCCAGCAGCAGGCTTGTTTTCAAGATGGTGCTGTGCCATAGTTGCTTAGGTTGGCAGGGTGGGAGTTACTCTCCCTGGGGTTGTACCATGAGGCCGTGTAGCTGCACAAACTCCCTGCTACTCTGCCAACTGGGTTTGGGACTTCTGAGGACTGGGGGCAGGGATTTCTGGTGTTTGTGGAGGAAGTGGAAAAAGCTGGGATTTTTCCAGCTTACCTTCTCTCCACCTGACTCTGAGCCAGTCCTTACAGGAAGACAGCAAGGCAGAGATAGGATGCCTTGTTCTGCTCTCTATGGTGCTATCCCAGTCTTCCATGCTCTACAAGGATTTCATCACTCCCCTGGTACTCTGCCGAGCATTTCTTTTTTCATTCTGATCAAAATATAGTTGTTTATTTGTTGTTTTGGTCTCTTTTTGTGGGGAAACAAGTGCCAGACTAATCAGCCATCTTGCTCCACCCTCCAGAGTGTTTTGTTTAATAAATATTTTTTACATTATCCAAATGAGAGCTTTTTTTGGTATTTAAAATTTTTTATTTCTTAGTTTTATGCATTATAGTTTATAGTTTGATTCTATTTCCATGTAAGCAGGTAGTTTTGAAATAGTTTGTCATATAAAGGATGCTAATGGGCTACTCATCTGAATGTGGCCACACAGACACTGTTCTTGAAATGACATCTAATTTTGACAGACAAATCCATGTAAATCTTTACTGTGTGAATGTTATAATGTGGTCTTGTATACAGTTCGCAGGAGAGTCATGCCTAGATGTAACCAGTGTGATTCTTAATTGATACTGCGTTAATTTTCTCTTTCTAAAAATATTTATACATACTGTCCTTTGAGTTCTTATGCTTTGGCTAAAATATCTTAGAATACATGGTTTCATTAACAATTTTGTTAATGAAAATTCTTCTCAAGTTTGTCAAAGTCTAATTCCACTGTTAAGAAATCTGCTTTTATTTTTCTAGAGCTAAGCTGAAATATGTAAAACTAAAGAAACACCTGGAGGAAATACGTGAATCAGAAAAGAAGGCTAATATTCGAAACCAAGAATATTTAAAGCAACTTGAGCGCCTCCAAGCTGAGATTGAACGAGACGTGACCAGAAATACAGAGAAACATCAAGAACTGAAGGTGACATCTTATTTTGTACGATATTATTTATTTGTCTATTTATTTGTTTTGCTATAATTGGAAATAATGAACAGTAAATTTTAGATTATTGGCAATCACTAATGTTCAGTTGTTTATACACAGGATTAATCAGCTTTCTCTGTGAATTACCATACGGCTAAATTTCATCAGAGACTTTGAGGTTGTATTTTCTAAGATCCCCACTTTAGTTGAGGAATTAATGGAATATCTGTAACATAGGCAAGATTACTAGCCAGTACGTGGTGTAGCTTCTGAAACATGGTATTTGTTGGCCAAATGACTGAATTTGAGTAGCATTAGGGTTCCCTCTAGAAACTGCTTCCGTCTTTAAAGCATTCTTTTTCTGTGGTCTGGACACCTCTCTTCTGGTCAAGCATTGTGTTGGGGGAGCACTGAGGGATAAAACAGTCCCTGAGGAGTTTGCCTTCGTGCTCCTCGGCTGCATGACCCAGAGCAACTGCCCTTTGTGGCCCTCTCTGATTCTTGCACTCATTTGTCTTGAGGTCCTTGGCTACTTGCTGCTCCACAAATTATGCTAAGTGTGGAGGGCCAGGAGCTAGGCCTTTTTCCTCACCATTGGAACTGGTCAGGAATTACTGTCCAAATTAACCCAACGCAACGCTAGTCACAGGGGGAGTTGGCTTTAATATTTCCCTCTCCTTTTTTTTTTCCCTCTATCAGTTTTTCCCTATTCTTTTACTATAAAAATTTCAAATATACAGAAAAATGAAAAGAATTATAGCAAACATTCATTCTCCACCTAGATGCAACAGTTGTAAATATTTTGCTATATTTGCTTTGTGTGTGTGTAATTTTTTTCCTCAGCCACTGAAAGTCTGCTGCAGACATCATGACACTTCTCTCCTAAGCACTTGAGTGTGGATCTCCTAAACACAAGGACAGTCTTCTACATAATCATAATATCATTATCACACCTAAGAAAATTAATATGTTTTCACAATATTACTTAATACCCAGCCCATATTGAAATTTCCCCAGTTCTCCCAAAAGGTATCTTATTTTTCCAAAGCAGGAGCCAACTCAGTTTTCACATATTACTTGGTTTCTATGTTATTGGTTATTGTCCCTTTTTTAGTCTCCTACTACTCTTCCTTTTTTTCCATGATGTTAGCTGTTTTGAAAAAGAGCAGTTACTTATAGAATGACCCACATTTTGAGTTTGAGGTATCATTTACTTGTACAGCATTCCTCAATATTTCCTGTAAACTGGAAATGTGGTCTAGACTAGCACTGACCATTAGAACTTTCTGCACTGATTGAAATGTTCTATATCTATGCTGATGCTGTCTGCTATGGTAGCTACTGACCATACATGACTATTTAGCACTTAAAATGGGGCTTGTGACAGGACTACATTTTTAATTTTGTTAATTTTAATTAATTTATACTTAAATAATCACAGCTGAGGTTGTATTTCCCACTGTATCCCATCAGGAGGCCCATGATATCAGGTGGCCCCACCTGAGTGAGGCTGACTTTGATGCCTTGGTTAAGATAGTGATCTCTAGATGTCTCTATCGTAAGGTAGCTTTTTTCCCCATTGTGAATTAGTAAATAATCTACAGAGTGATGGTTTGGCCTCATGGAAATTCCATCAGGAGGCCCATGATATCAGGTGGCCCCACCTGAGTGAGGCTGACTTTGATGCCTTGGTTAAGATAGTGATCTCTAGATGTCTCTATTGTAAGGTACCTTTTTTCCCCATTGTGAATTAGTAAATAATCTACAGAGTGATGGTTTGGCCTCATGGAAATATTGTGTTCTTCGATAGCCTTTTACCTAATGGTTTTAGAATCTGTTGATAAGCCTTGCCTGAAGCAATTATTATAGTGGAGGTCATGAAATGGTGATATGGTGATTTTCTTTTTTATGATCTATTAGCTAGCTTTCTTCTGTAACTAAGAGCATTCTTCCCCTCCCCCCCTTCTTTTTCCCTCTTTTTCTTTTAATATGATGGACTTGTGGATTTTTGTTTAATCAGTGTGTTATCAACTATGGTAATTATTCTTTTTGTTGTTCCGATTGTCCAAAATTTGGCCAGTGAGAGTCTCTTCAGATTGACTCCTGTGTCCTTTTCACCTGGCCCCATAAATTCTGAGCCTTCTTTGCTTTTGGGCAGGTTTACCTTATATTTTCTCTGCCTCAGACATGGAATTAGCCTTTCACCAAAGAAGCTGTGCTTTTAATGGGGAAGGGGTATTTAGAAACCAAAGGTCTGGGGGTTAGATATGCCCGAACAGTAGCAAGTTTTGGGTACAGCACTCCAGTTTTTTCACTTAGTATTCAAGTAGAATGCTTAGAGTTTAAAAACAGTTGTCATTATCAACTTTGTAAACTACTCTTTGAAGATTTCATTTAGAAAGTTAAAATGGTGGACAAAGCAGGGATTTTTGCCTTCCCCAAAGAATAAAGGAAATAATAGAACTTTTACTCTTATTTTTATGTTGAAGCTTTAATTGTTGATTTTTTTTTGCCAGACATGCATTAGTTTATTTATTTTTTATTTTTTATCATTTTACAATGTAATCAATTTTCATGGCCTTTTACCAATTCCTGCCTTTCCCTCCTCCCTTTCCCCTTTCCCACCCATTGACAACCTCAGTTCTGTTCTCTTCTCTTAAAAAGTTCAATGACTTATTGTGATTGGTGTATCTTTTTTTGTTGTTTGTTTATATTAGCTGCTTTTGTAGAGGGGGTCCCAGTTGGTCTTAACTTAGAGCAGTTTTTCTCAGGTGCTCATTGTCCTTGTCTCAGGTTGGGTTCCCCCAGAACAGACCCAGAGACAAGGATTTGACTATAAGTAGTTTATTTGGGAGTTGAAAAAACGTTAGTAGGCAAGTGGGGAGGTGAGACAGGCAGGGCACAGGGTGTATTATTAAGCCAACTCCCACAGTTGGCCACTGGAGCTTAATTCTCCACAGCAACTCTGGAAAGTGGTTTGAAGCATTTGGGATATGTATATCGCGGCTCCTGAGCAGCATTGAAAACTGATGGGCAGGTGGTGGGAAATTAACCATGTACTCCTGTGGGCAGAACAGCCTCCCCAGGTTCTGAGGAGTCTTAGGCACAGAGACCTAGATACTGGAACTTAGAAGTACCAAGAAAGGTCCCATGGACATGTGTAGAGCATTGCCAGTGTCTGCTTTAGCCTCCCTCATGGCAGCAGTGCCAGGCATGGGGCCAGCGTGTCAGAGCATTCAGGGAGGGCCTGGTTAAGTCTCTCCTTGGCTTGAAATGCTGGCCCAGGATTTTTAGGACAAAGCCCTGATGCTGGTCTCTGCTTGCACATCACCCACAGCCTCAACCTTAGGACTCCCTTTGACACACACACATACAAACACATGCACACACACACATTCTTACTATATCTCTCTCGCACAAATACACTGATGTGCACATCTCTCTCTGTGGCTTCCTGATCTGCCCTCTCCACATTCTCCCTCCAAACTCATCTCTTCCTCCTATCTCTCCCCACCCCATTCCTGTCTCCCTGTCTCTTCCTACCCTCAAATCTCACCATCCCTGTCTCCCCAAATCTTCTGTCTCTTCCACCCCCATATTCTTCCCACTATCTCTACATCTTTATCTCCTGCACCCATGTGCTCTCTCTCTGTCACACACACACACACTCACTCATATGCCCCCACAGTACTTTAAACATGCTGAACAATTTGCATTTCTTTGAAAGCACCACATTATCTCATACCTCCTTCAATTAGAAGGCCTTTCTCCCCCTGCCCTGCCTTAGGTCTGTGTCATAATTATCTCAGTAAGCACTTCCTCTGTGATATTATAATTGTTTACATGTCTGTTTTCCCCCTTCACTGTGAGCTCCTAGTCTTATTTCAATACTCTCAGTATCTGACCCAGAATATAGTGCATAATAAGCACTAAGTAAGCACTGAGACCACTCCCCATGACTGCAAGCACTCAGTAAGCATTGAGATTTCCCCCTTGACTGAAAATTAATTTTTATATGTTTTTTGTCTCATTCTCTTATGGATCATGAACAACTATGTAAGAACTAATGGTGATATTGATTATACTCTGTGTTATAACTTCCTAGGAAGCATTTGTGTTTAATAGTGGAGGTGTTCTGAGAATACAGTGTCATTATTTAAGATGTGATTCTCCTTAAAAATTCAGTTATTAGGTTATGTGTACTTATAGGGGATAACATTTGAGAACAGATCTTTTGAGCTCTCATTCAATTCTTAATAAGCATTGTGACATACTGTGGGCAGGGCATGACCTTCAGCCTCTTGGAGGACAGAGTCTGTAACAAGTCCCATTTTTTTTTTTTTATCAACCAGAGTGTCTTACCTGTTAGTATATATTAGCTGAATAAATAAATGTTCCTCCATATCTTTTGGTAAAAGTTCACCATCTAATAGGAAGTACAATGTATTGGAAAAAATAGGGGAAGAGAAAACAAAAAGACTAAAGAATCTTAGTCTCATCTCTCATATTCACCCAAGAATCAAATTAGACAACTTTTTTTTTTTTTCCTTTTTGTCTTTTTTTCGTGACCGGCACCTTTTTGTCTCTTTTTTACTGACCGGTAACGGGATCGCAACCCTCGGTGTTGCGCCCGCACCGCGGTAACGGGATCGCAACCCTCCGTGTTGTGCCCGCACCATCTCCACATGGGATCAGAACCCTCGACGGGAGCGCCTCCGTGCTCCCAAGCGGTGCACTCTCCAGTGCACCACCGGGCCGGCCCCAAATTTGACAATTTTTTAACTCTCTTTATCCATTTCTTCAACTCTGATATGAGGAGACAGGGTCAGCCAATCTTAAATGTCTGTTCAATTCAACTATTCACTTATTCTGTAACTGAGAATTAGCTGTGCATGCCTGAAGATGAATGAAAAAAGGAAGCCTGTGAAAAATAAAGGGAATGGTGGCACTTTCAGGTAAACAGTAATGTGACACAGGGAAATTGAAGGAGTGAAAGTGAGACTACAGAAGAAGGAAGCATAATGTTGTAAGCATGAGGAGAGATCCCAGAGACCTAAAACATTTGCCGGAACCTCCATTCCTCTTCCTGCAACCCCAGATCATTCTCAGCAGATTTCAGTAATTGAGCTGAAATGAATTGCTTGTGTATAGTGAGGAAGTGAATGGGAAGGTTCTCCTAAATTTAGGTGGGCAGCATCAAGCCAGTGTGGTGAAGCAGTACAGTAACAGACAGAACAAGTTACCTGACAGGTTAACTCAATACACTTGGGTTTATTTAAACAGATTTTGACGGGGGGGG